TCAATTTTCAAATGATGATGAATGGAATATAGTGCACGAGGTGGCACAATTGGTGTTTCGAGGCAGTTTGTCAGTTTAGTCTGACTCAGTTAGTGCTTCAGATCCATGAAAAGGAAATCTGGATTAAGTTAAAAAGTTTCTAAAGTTTCAGTCCTGTCCTTATCTGGCTCATAAAGATACATACAAAGATGATCAAAAAATTTACTTTGACCCTTAACTTCTTTGAATAGTATATTTATCAATCCGCAGTCATGAAGCTGAACATTGCTGACTGCGGTGATAAAAAATACACACAGTCATATCAAGTTTTGTACTCAGTAAGTACCATATGGTTTTACTGCAGTTGACAACAACGTCTCGTTCAGTGAGGGAATGATTATTTTCAGGCTATCAATACTTTCAATACTGACAAAACTGTCATATGTTTGTATAAATTGTTTTGATAATCTTTCTTAAAGGCTCATTTAGGGCTGACATGTAGTGCTTTGCAAGTTTAAACCAGTGAGCCAATTTGAGCAGTGAATAAGTGATTTACAAAATATGCTTCTCTTTGAACCTCAGAATAATTTTCCCGATCATGAGCTACGATGGTGTCTGTTAGTAGTGTTACTCAGGTGTTTGGAGAACATGAGTGTCGATTCTTCAAAGCCTTAAATGTCTAACCAACATTTTCCATGTCTTTTGAAGTGTAAAACTTTTTTGAGTTAGGTAGAAACTACCTTCAGGATACTCTGAAACATTTTCTTTGAGTAGCAAAACTGTTATATAGAGTATGGAAACACATCTGTAACATTAAAAAAATAATAATGGATAGTGTGAAATCCTTTTATTCATTGGACTTAGTTTTTAACAAGAAATCTGATGCCCTGGGGTTGTTCTAAAGGATTATTATAGAAAGCTTAAAAGCATTCCTCATGTTACATGGCCTGCTACTATTCAATCATGTTATTTGAGATATGACAAGTCTTTTGATGGGGGCAACTAAAATATCTTACCTTCCTGGATGTGTTTTAGTCAGAAATTGTGACACTTTGAAACATCAGTCGGCCTTCTGTGTGTTCTTACTAAAAATCTGCCGTGGTTATTTGTAAATGTCTTTTGACCCAATAGGCAGGAGATGCAGAAGGTGCTGTGTGAGTTCCTTTGAGTATGGTGTAGATTGATGTGTTTAACACTTGAGGTTGACAATATCCCTCACTTGGTCTTACTGTTGATGTTTCAATGGCAGTACATGGGGGAATTGTAAATAATTGATACCGATTTTTCCCAAATTCTTGTATCTTTGACGGCAGGGGAATGCTTTCTTGTCAGAATATCTTCTTATTTAAAAAAAAATTGAGCTATAAAAATGAGTTTAGGAAAGGCAGCTGTGATATTTTATTGTGCATGAGAAAGAATTATTACAAAAATCTTGCAACATACAAATGCATGACTTGTTAAGATTACTGAACAAGTTTTTCTAGAATCCTAAATGACAAGCAAGTCTTAAAGATGTCTCCTAATCATTCTCTTTTGCTGGCGGTGACTGTTTGACATATAAAGGTGCCAGTTATGGCACTATAACTGCTAACTGTTTGTCAGGCATATTGAACATAGGGCTGTCCATCACTGCATAAGTGGAGATCTGGCCATTCTTACAAGATTTCATTTCGTGGACCTATCAAATGTCATTGAATCATTTTGTCCTGATATTCAATAAATTAGCTCTTGAATTAAACTCTGATTTGTTTATTATCATTGAAAGTAAATCAATTTGTGATGAGATGACAAATTTTGCTGCTGATAACCTGTTAGTGTACAAATGTATAATTGAACCAAATTGTATAGTGCTCAACCTTTGCTAGGGATATTCAGTGTCAAGTATTGCTTTTACAAACCCAGTTTGGGAACTTTCTGTCCCCTGTACATTAGAATCTTAAATGGCATCTAAAATTGGATCAGGCCACAACAGTTCCTGGGTGTGAGTTTGACTCACATGGTGACCTCTGGTTAGACCAACTCTGACGATCTGACTGTGTCCTCAGGTCCTTGAGAGTTGATGAGAGTTCAGTTGTAGTAGTTTATAGTAATATGGATATAGGACGACCTAGGGCTAAGAAGAGGCTTATTGACCCCCATGCAAGTTCAGTTGTAGTTGTAGTAATTTGGATATAGGACGACCTTTGGCTAAGAAGAGGCTCATTTACCCCAATGAAAGTTCAGTTGTAGCAGTTTATAGTAATTTGGATAAAGGACGACCTTGGGCTAATAAAGAGGCTCATTTACCCAAATGAAAGTTCAGGTTGCAGTGTAAGCTTTCAGGATCCCAAATCATCCTTAGTCTCTGGCTACAATACACATGCTTAGCTTCATCTGAGTGGTAAAGGTCTTCAATCTGTCAACCAGGGTCATGTTCCACAAAGAGATCTTAGCTCTAAGATACTCTTAGACATAGGCTTTAACACAGGCTTACGATAGTCGTCGTGCTGAGATTACTTTCCCTGTATCACTTGGGCTTCTCCCCACAAGGCAATATCTTGTGGTATAACTGAAATGCATTTTATTCAATATTGCATTTAATTCTAACTCATGTAATGTAATGAATGTAATGAAAACGTGTAGAACCAACTTACTCTCTGAACTTTGATTGTACTTTAGAAAGGCCTTGATTTGAATCCCCATCACTGTTATCACTGGTTTTAATTAAGAATGAATGTTTATAATGTCTGAAGATAATAAGCTTAAGCTAAATTTAGGTATTGATAGTCTCAAAGCTTCTAAGTCCGAATACGGCGAATCATGACATATCACTGAAAACATTGTAAACCTACTTTTATTAATGCTACTGCCACCGACTCTTGGCAACTTTCATCTGAAGTTCTAGAAAAGTTTCATATCTGTACACCTAGGAATGATTTAAGCACTTCACTTTTTTCATATGTATTTCCATGTCTGTATCTGGTCGACATGAAGCAAATATACTAGTCAAATGAAGTAAAGGACACTTGTTTCTATATTACTGTAGTTAATCTGTCATGTCAGAGAAGAAATTAAAGAACACTGATTCTTTCATTTTACTTTTGTATGTCCTTATTATTGTGATCTAAGAAACAAGTTTATACCACAACACTATCTGTCAAATTATCCTGTACCTGCGTGTATTTCTCTTCTTCAAAAGATGATTCTGTCATATTAAAACAGGCTAAATATGTTAAAAATGCAATTTCCCACAGTATGTATGGATTCAGTCGTTAAACCCGTAACTATTGTTCAGAATACCCTGTGTTAAAGCTTTTGAGGTTGCATTATCAGAATTCACATTCCAAATGTCACTTTCATGATCTGGTAAGCGACGCTCTGATTGGTCGGATGAAAGGTCGGTCTGACGTGAGTTGTAATGGGATGTCCTCAGATCTTTGTTTAGCGGTGGCGAGAGCTAAGATCTGATTTTAATGAGATTGAGTGCAGCTGAGAGTGAATGTTGAATGTATCATCATGATCGTGACATGATGTGAGATAGATATATGTCACAGATAACTATTATATATTCCACTAAATAAGTCATAAAAGGCAGCATTAGAAATTGGCACTCATTTGTCCTATAGCCCTTTCTCAACTGCCCAATAGTTAAGGTATCATAAGGACAAGTAGAAATTGACCATTATTAAAGGTTTTGCTATATGTTATCTTTATAAAGAGTTCATATTCTATCACTAAATGTAGTTAATGATTTTCTCCCTCATATGAATTAAGGGAAAAAATTATGAGGTAAATTATCTGTAATGATCTCAAGTGTTGAGAAAGTTGTTTTCTGTGATATTTTTTCCACAATGAGGGAGTAGCTTGATTGAGATAATTTGGCAGACGTAGCAAAATTCATTCAAGTCATTCAAATTAAACTTTCTGCTCAGATTTTATGACAAAGATCAGTGTAGTTGTTAATGATCTGGGGCATTACTGTGGGACAGTGTGTGAGTTTGACACATGGCACTAATGACACTGTCTAGACTGTACATGTGCTCCAGACTAAGCTTGTCGTAAGAGGCAACTAACGGGATCGGTTGGTCAGGATCGCTGACTTGGTTGATGCGTGTCGTCGTATTCCAATTGCGTGGATCAATGCTCATGATGTCAATCACTGGATTGTCTGGTCCAGACTTGATTATTTACAGACCGCCGTCATATAGCTGGAATATTGCTGTGTGTGGCGTTAAAGAACATTAAGAAACAAACAACATGTGCTCCATACAGACCTTGGAGCATGGTGCAGAGTTGGAGTGAGTTACGTTTAAAGTCTGTAATTTGTTTTAAACTTTACAATTTCTTGTTGATCTATATTGTGGCCAAAGATCCACTCTGTCGGGGTACGAGGATGTACACGCCTTCTCCGAGCCTGACCCCCGATTCATTTGGTTGCCTCTTATGCCTAGCATGGAATCTAATGCTTCTTATTATCCAGTTCATTAAGTTCTTTCAGAGCTGTCAACAGGAAATCTGATAACTGAAACTCGTAAATATTCTGTTGTGAAAGAAATTTGAAAGACATCATTTCTTGCTTATTTAATTCCGAGTAATCCAATCAGGGCAAGCCATGAATACATCCAATATACTCTCAACAATGAGCTGCAAACTCACACTAAAGAAAAACAGGAATCGCAAATTCACTTATATAATTAGTACTTTCATCAATGTCAATTTGATTTCAGAGCTGTTAACAGCTAATGGATAGTTGCAGTTATTGATAGTGCTTTGAATGAAAGTATTCCTGCCTTTGACAGAGCTTATCAAGAAAATAAATTGCAGCAACGAAAATCCATCCAGCAAAATTCGTGAATTTCAGGTGGAGACACAATGCCTTGCATCCAGCTTGTCAACAGGTTATTTTGGACTCGTGGCTTGCTTACATGGGCAGAATGAATCTGTTGCTCATCGAGTTTCCCTGGTCTCTGGGACAACGGGGGGATGTCAAACCCATCCAGTTTGCAAGATTTTCACAAATGTTCTTCTCTTTTCTCTTTCAGAGTTGCAAACTGGTGGAAGTTACCTCTAACATCTGGGGCACCAAGTTCCAGCTGATTGGGTGTGCCTCCTACCTCCCCGAGGTTCTGGGGCACGTGGTCTACAAGACCAGCCTACTCCACCTGCAGCCACGCCAGATGACCATCACCCTCTGTGAGCTCTGTGGGAGCAGCCAGCAGCTGTCTCGGGACCCCAACTTCACCCCTGCAGGCATGAGTGAGGATGATGACTCGTCTTGTAAGTGTAGGTCCAAGGTTACTACAGCATGATTCAGTAGACAGATGGGTAGACTGTATGTTGGTACGTCTCGTGTCTACTGCTGTCTACTTCAGCCTGGAATGCTGGGACGAGACTCACGATCTGTGTTGTAGAGGTGACTAAGTGTGTGAAGATAGATTGACACAGGAGATATGTGACATCATACTGCAGCATCATACTGCAGCATCATCATGCTGCATCATACTGCAGCATCATACAGGCTGCATCATACTTACTGCATCATCATGCTAGATCATACTGCATCAGCATACATACTGCATCATCAAGCTGCATCATCATACATACTGCTTTATCATACATGGTCTGCATGCTGCATCATCATGCTGCATCATCATACACACTGCTTTATCATACATGATCTGCATGCTGCATCATCATGCTGTATCATACTGCATTTTCATGCTGCATCATCATGCTGCATCATCATAAATACCACATCATCATACAAACTGCATCATCATGCTGCATTATCATATTGCATCATCATACTGCATCATCATATTGCATCTTCATGCTGCATCATACAAACTGCATCATCATGCTGCATCATCATACATACCACATCATCATACAAACTGCATCATCATGCTGTATCATCATATTGCATCATCATACTGCATCATCATGCTGCATCATCATACTGCATCATCATGCTGCATCATCATGCTGCCTCATACTGCATCATCATGCTGCATCATCATACATACCACATCATCATACAAACTGCATCATCATGCTGCATCATCATATTGCATCATCATGCTGCATCATCATACTGCATCATCATGCTGCCAAATCATATTGCATCATCATACACACTGCTTTATCATACATGATCTGCATGCTGCATCATCATGCTGCATCATACATCCAGGCTGGCTTAGTGATACCAGCTGTGGCCCATAGCTGCCAAGAATACCAGATCACTCATATCAGTATCTTGGGTTTATCATCACCATACCAACACTGATAGGTTCCACGTCGGTTGTCAATACTATGACCCTGGTTGTTTGGGCCTGACTGTCTCGTCAGTCAGACTGTGATTGTTATGCAAAGAGAATCCAGAGTCAGACATTCTGACTACATTTCAAGTTACCCAAACAGCATATGCCTGAAAGACTATTAAGACATTAGGTTAAGATCAAAGTCACTCAAACACTCACTGAGGCAAGTTCAGTAGAAATACTACACTAATGTCTTCATATTGTCCTTACTTAGTGTTAGCTGTGACTGTTGTCTTTACTATGGTAGTAGATAGAACTTGCTGTTGCATGTCTTGAGTGAAATGTAAATGGGTTTTCGGGGATAGACATGGCCACTAATCTGTTATCCAAGACTAGAGAAAATTTGGAGAGACTTCCCCCCCCCCCAAATCTAGTTATTTCACATCAACCATTAGCCAGAATGAACTGCGTACTAGTTGGATATGACCAATGGTAGGGATGTCTTTGATTGGGAATAAAAGGATCGATATTTTAACGTAAAAGTATCATGTTGATACATTGATGTTAATAAAATTAATTAGCCTGTACATGCCAAGATAAGGAAAACACCTATGTAGTCCTGCAGTTAATGCTAATAAATGCTAAATATGAACTTGGCTTATCCATTAAATGTTTAGAATTGAATTTTCTGCCTTTTCACCGTCCTTTATAATCATAGTAGTTTTAATAAACAGAATTTTCTATGGCAGTGAATTATTTATTAGTTAATATACATAACCTTGTATCGATACAGCATAGATACCATATTCGACGTAATAAGCGCCCACAGCGATATTTGCTAATATATTGGCTAGTGAACAATCCCAATTAGCAGCACCCCTTCCGATTGATCAATGTACACAAGACTTATTTATTCGTGTATAATATGCATGCTTGTGTTATATACACCCTTAATAATTGGCAATCAAATTCAGGAAAAATATATCTGTCGTATATAAACAGTTCAGGCCGTCAGCATAAACCACGAAATATATCTTTCAACTCTGTTTTTTCCACCAAAATAATATTCTTATAAGAGCCCCCTATTTCTATTTTTGAGAGCGCCCAGGGCGCTTATTACGTCGAATACGGTATTACAAATTTATCGATACATTGATATCGCAATGCATGATGACATACCTAACTAATGGTGTGAACCCCTGGGTTTCACACAGAATTCAACTATATGAAAGTATACTATTAGTAAAACAAGGGCCCAACTTAAGTAATATTACAGTTACTACATGTGGAAATCTGTATTTATTTATGGGAGTCAGGACTGAAGCCACTGTATTTTTGTGTCATCCAGTGATGTAGGGTAAGGTCTTGGATAAAAGGTAGAGTGTGTGTGTTGGCCGCAATGGTTAGTGTAGATGAGGAGCTGGGCCCTTCAGCAGCGGGCAGTGTTCACCATGTAGTTCTGTAGTCATGTTCTGCACACAACGCGTGTCCCTTACAATACCTTGTACTTTGTTAAATCCATGTATTTGCCATTTTAAGCACATGCCCATGTAGTGTGTCCTTATTTCACAAAAGATGGCTCACCTAAATAATAATTGTTGCACTATAGATGTTCATTTACTTCAAAAGAAATGTAAGATATCAATGTTATGTAAGAGTTGTTTTATTTAGATAGGGGTCGCTATGTTGTTAAAATATTGCTGATGTGGCATTACATTTGGACTCATTAAGATGGTGATCACTAAGTGGCTGAAATATTGTCAATTCAACATTACGTTTTGACTCACTCACTCATTAAGATAGTGATCACTAAGTGGCTGAAATATTGTCAATTCAACATCACATTTTGATTCACTCACTCATTAAGATAGTGATCACTAAGTGGCTGAAATATTGTCATTTCAACATTACAATACTGACTTACTCAATAAAATAGTGATCACTTAGTGGCTGAAATATTGCCAATGTGACATTACATTTTGACTTGCTCACGAAGACAGTGCTATAGCCTCAGTGTGTCTCAGCATTAAGGAAATGGAAAAGTTTTGTTCCTGTTAAGAAGTGTGTATATTGTGCATTTTGCTGCCTATTTTATCACACAAGCCACGTCTTATTTTCTCTTTTACCTTTTATTTATTTGTGTAAGAAACAGGATTGAATTTTGTAGGCATTCACATGCGATGTGAATGATTAGATGAATAGAAACACATTAAACGTGCAATCCAAGGATTTATTAAGTCTCTCTGGCGTCAGCCCAGAGACACATATTATGGCCTTTCTTGTGTTGTGTGAAAGGAACAAGGGGTTGTGATGGATTAGGTTGCAACAAATACATGATGTGTTTCTAAAGTTTTTCCAGACCTAAGTCAGATAGCATCAAGTCATCATTATTGGCCTTCAGTTCGTTCTTTTGTTATTTTATTTATTCTGGTTCTGATTTCCAGAAAGATCTATGTTGACATACAATATTGGAACATGTCTGTAATGCATTGAGCCTTGAACTCCATTTGTAAACAGTGTCCAAAATAGCTTCCTGCCCACTATAACTTTTCTGTTGGGATAAGTGCAATTGATTCCAACCTTCCCGACTGTCTTGTAGAAAATGTCCTTGCTTCTGATGCCGACAATTTTGAATCAGACAATGAGATCAAGAGCTATCTTTGCAATTTTATGCTTTAAATGTTGAAAGCATAGAGTAAAGTAAATCTGAGCAAAATGATAATGATTATCTACAATAGCGTGTAGTGACAAGTGCAGGTCTGCAACTTTCATGCCACCAGCCCCTCTGTGCATGTGGGGAGTAAAACTTGTTTCAGAAATTGTAATTAGTTGATGTTTCATCTGTGTCCTTGGTCTGGTATTTGGGTCCAATGAAAGGTGGATCCAGTCTGGATTAAGGCTATTTCTTCCATGGGATATCTAGGTCTAAGATGGTTCAACAGTCTGGTAGTTGGGTCCAATGAAAGGTTGATCCAGTCTGGATTATGGCTATTTCTACCATGGAATATCTAGGTTTAAGATGGTTCCACGGTCTGGTAGTTGGGTCCAATGAAAGGTTGATCCAGTCTGGATTATGGCTATTTCTACCATGGGATATCTCGGTTTAAGATGGTTCCACGGTCTGGTAGTTGGGTCCAATGAAAGGTGGATCCAGTCTGGATTAAGGCTATTTCTACCATGGGATATCTAGGTCTAAGATGGTTCAACAGTCTGGTAGTTGGGTCCAATGAAAGGTTGATCCAGTCTGGATTATGGCTATTTCTACCATGGAATATCTAGGTCTAAGATGGTTCCACAGTCTGGTAGTTGGGTCCAATGAAAGGTAGATCCAGTCTGGATTAAGGCTATTTCTACCATGGAATATCTAGGTCTAAGATGGTTCCACAGTCTGGTAGTTGGGTCCAATGAAAGGTAGATCCAGTCTGGATTATGGCTATTTCTACCATGGAATATCTAGGTCTAAGATGGTTCCACGGTCTGGTAGTTGGGTCCAATGAAAGGTTGATCCAGTCTGGATTATGGCTATTTCTACCATGGAATATCTAGGTTTAAGATGGTTCCACGGTCTGGTAGTTGGGTCCAATGAAAGGTAGATCCAGTCTGGATTATGGCTATTTCTACCATGGAATATCTAGGTTTAAGATGGTTCCACGGTCTGGTAGTTGGGTCCAATGAAAGGTAGATCCAGTCTGGATTAAGGCTATTTCTACCATGGGATATCTCGGCCCAAGCCATTTGCATGGCCTGGTATCTTGATCTAAGATGTTACTACAGTCTTCTACAAAGGTAGCTGTTTCTTGTCCCTGGTCTGGTCTATCTTCATTGGCTTGCTTATTAATATCCTGTCCAAAGTTTGACAGTTATTTGATCACAAATTTGGACATTTTAACATCAGGAACATTGGTTGGGAATAGTATGGGAATATGTATGAGCAAACACTTGACAATTACTTCATATAAGAGGCGACAATGATTGTCGTAAGAGGCGACTGATGGGATTGGGTGGTCAGAATTGCTGACTTGGTTGATGGACGTCATTGTATCCACTTGCGTAGATTGATGTTTATGATTCAATCACTGGTTTGTCTGGTCCAGACTAGATTATTTACAGAAAAAGTGCTTAGTGCAGGGTTAAGAAACAAAACAAAACTTGACAATGTGATGCACCCATGTTGCAGAAATTCTGTAGGGAATGATCACCCTGTGTTCCCCTTATGCTTTCCAACCGTTCTCTATCTTCCAGCAACAAGTGATGGTCTGGATAATGAGGTAACCTCTGAACCGGTGGATAAGGTGATGCCTGTTAATGCAGACTTACAACAAGCCAATCAGATCTCAGTGGATGTTCAACCAGCTCGTGGTGAAGCCTGTCGAGGAGATGATGTCGGCAGTGCTGTAAATGGGCATAGTGATGCACCCAATGCCACATTCTTGCCAACAAGACTTTCCCACTCAGGGAGCATAAGATCCAGATCTTTATCACCAATTAGGAATGGTTTAAATCATAACTCTTTAGCATTTAAACTTGAAAATGGTAGTGACAGCAATGTGGTGAAAGAAAACTATGCTAATCAAGGTGCTCGACCCAAAGTTAGAAAATGTACTCCGCTTAGTGCAACTGCTTCAGTGAAGGCTTCCAGTGTGCAACAAGGCCCCGCTAATGGAGGGGCAGGTCTCATCCTCAGCTCAACTGATGCAACTACTCCAAATGTGCCCAGACATAGTCCAAGTTCCACAGTCTCAGACACAGTCGTCTCCTCAGATGTCCGACCCAGGGACAGCCCACGATGGGCAGATCCAGCCAGTGAGGCAATCAAATACATTGACGAAGAGACCCCAGAAAATACGGAGCTTCCTTTTGAAAATAATTTGGTGGGAGATTGCAGTCCAACTGCACCCACTGTGGTGGACCTTCAACGGCGCCTGTACCTTGCTCAACAGGGTTCTGTAGACTTTGATCCTTCTGAGGAAACCAATAATGTGCAGACCTTTTCAGAACGGAACAGCTGTGATTCTCTGGTGACGGAGGAAGATACGTCCGCTTCGCTGGTTCTGTTTGATGATGGTCAGCCTGTGGGGCATGGGTCTGTGGACAGGGGCATCAATGTAGTAGGCAAGTCTCTGTTCAAGGAGACAGAATTGACAAATGGTGGTGATATTGAAATTTTACATAGTGCTTCACTGCCGGCCTCACCGGTGAGAAAAATTGACTCACCAACAAGAAAATTACGCGAAGAGATTTTGAAAGGAAAGTGTCGACATCTTAGTCCTGTGTTCAGAAGGAAAACCAAACATTCCAGAGCTGTGGACAGTTCCGATGAAGACATTTTGCTTGCTATTGAGGAGATGAAAGGTGGCCATAGTTACAAGAATCTGGAGACGTTCCAGAAATCTCAGCTGAAACAAAAGGTAGGTCAACATTTCAGAGATTCTCTAGCTTATTGTATTACAGACTGTCGTTAATGCAACCACACTTTGCAATCATCCAGTGTATACTTATACAGAACAGTATCAAATGTACTGAAATAGTTTCATTCATCTTTCAAGAAACTTTACATGTACCTCAACCAAGTCATCAGGTGATACCTTTGCAACTAGTATTTCTCAATGAGCATTGTATTTAACATTTCAGGCAACTTAAGCAGAGCACTGTAAAGTATGCTTACTGGTATTAGTTGGTACCGGGGCTACTTGGGGATTTAATTTAGCTTGAAAAGGGTAAATATATTATAATTAGGGCGGTCGGGTAGCCTAGTTGTCAAAGCATTCACTCATCAAGCCGAAGACCCGGGTTCGATTCCCGACATGGGTACAATGTGTGAGGCCGATTTCTGGTGTCAACGACCTTGATATTGCTGGAATATTGCTAAAAGCAGCGTAAAGGCACACTCACTCACTCACTAAATTATAATTGTGTACACTGAAAAATGCCATTACCAGTGAAGACCTCCACATTTCTATACAAAAAGGTAATGTAATAAGACTGATGAACTATAACATATTTGGCTTTCTTTCTTATTTTGTTTTGGTCATGAAATTGCAAGAAAGATATTAGTTTTATTTGGCCATTACACTCATGAAAACTTATTCCAAAGTGACGAAAACTTGGTTTAACTTTAAAAGCAATTCTCTTTGAGAAGTTAAATTTTTGGTTAATCACAAACATGGAGGTCGGTGTGTTATTTGTCTCAGGTTTAGAGTCCCAGTAGAAATGAGTATGGTGATAACATCTGTGGCATTAGGACATCATTTGTTAAACCTTAAGATCCTTGTACACAGCTATAGCATATTGCCATGGCATGAGTAGGATTCCGATAAAAGTGGTGAAATTACATTTACAGTTTCTCAATTTCAGCTCGATTTTCTCTGCAAGGATTTAAACATTCAATTTCTGTTTTTCAAATCTTCTGTTTTTTTGTCTCTTTGCAAATAGATGACACATTAATGTATATATGCCAAAAATGTAGAGGATAGTGGGAGTCATCAAGACATATCTTCTGATCTATGTGGTATTGGCAAATGGTAATGATATGATCATATCTGCTGCGGAGTAGGGGATCAGACCTGAGGGGTTCTAATGGTTGGTGAGGGGGCACGGGTGGCCCAGTCGTCTAAGGCTCCGCTATTCGCTGTGCAGAGTTGCGTCCCTTAGGCACGCCAGAAACCTATGATTGTGGGTTCGAATCCCGGTTCGCCCCGATTATGTTTCTAGGTTTGTCAGCACCATACCCGTGCTCGTGGGTTTCACCGAAGTGGTAAACGTCTGAGCCCTGCATCACTTCGGGCTTTCCTCCCACATTAAGCTGACATGCCGTGATGTAACTGGAATACTGTTAAAAGCGGCGTTAAACCCAACTCACTCACTCACTAATGGTTGGTGACGTGTTCAGTGGGTGAAAGGTGAGGACTGAGTGCAGGCCATGGTACGACATGGATGGTTTGCTGTTGTAGGAATTGCGTCACAGCCTGGCATGAAGAGCATGTGCATTATCATCTTGAAAGGTCCAATGTTGCCCAACACATGCAAATGGCACCACTCGAGTGGTGCAATGATGTTGTCCTGTATAGTATTCACCTGTGACACGTACTGCTATGGATAATAAGGAAGGCAGTCATTGTGATACCACCCCATACCATTATGGACCCATCCCCAAAATGATCATGCTTTACGACGTTTACGTCCATGTAATTCTCATGAGGATGTCTCCAAACTTGATGCCTTCGGTTATGGAAGTTGAGACTGAACTTCAATTCATCAGAAAACATGATTTAAGCCCAACATCGATTATCAAAAAAGTGCTGACGTTGCCTACACCACTAACGACTCTGATTCAAATGATGTGCAGTAAGTTTAGGGCTGACATGTGGACGTCATGCACGCAAATGCCATCTGTGCAGACGATTTTTTGCTGTCTTTGTATATACTCTTGCAACCGGTCCCTTATCTGAGTGGCAGTTTGCAACTGATTACTTAATGCCATCGTTCATGATTAATCTGTCCTAGGCTGGAATTGTTGCCCTTGGGCGTCCAGAACAGCGTCGATCATCAATGTTATGTGTTTGGTATCGAGCCCACAATCTGCTGATGAGAGATTGAGAAACATGCAGCGTTAAGGCAACAATATTCTGACGTGTGCTGAGGCGTTGGGTTAACCCATAGGTTAAAGCATTCGCTTGTCATGCTGAAGACCTGGGTTCGATTCCCAACATGGGTACAATGTGTGAGGCCCATTTCTGGTGTCCCCTGCCGTGATACTGCTGGAATATAGCTAAAAGCGGCATAAAACCTTACTCACGCACTCTGACATGTGCCCACCTGCACCATGCCTACGGCATGTAAACGTTCAGCACGTTGCAAATGTCATGTTGCTGCTTCCTTTATGATAAAATGTGTGATATAAAGTGTCTGAGCATTTGGTTCCAAGAAAACAATATGTGTCTGCTCACAACCGAGTTTGATTGACAGTGGTAGATCTGGCATACCACCCCTTCCATGTGCTGTCCGAGGTCACCTCCTTCATGACTGTCACAATGGTGTGTTTGGGACCTTGATTTTCTTAACCAATGATGTCAGAGCTCTCTTGATCAATGATGTCAGAAAACACAGGAATGTCTGATCTGAAGACAGTGGGATGAGTTGAATGATGACATGTGGACTGTTGCATAAGTCGATGACTGTTGACAATGGAATGCCTGATGTGCTTATCAGTGGGTAGGTGGGGTAGCCTAGTGGTGAAAGCGTTTGCTCTTCACACTGGTTAGATTCTCCACATAGGTACATTGTGTGAAGAGCATTTTTTGGTGTTCCCCAGCATCATGTATTACTGAAATATTGCTTAAAGCGGTGTAAAGCTAGCTTGCTAGCTCATTTACTCACTCACTCACTCACTCACTCACTCACTCACTCACTCACTCACTCACACCCCACCACACCACACCCCACCACACCACACCACACCACACCACACCACACCACACCACACCACACCCCGACCCACCCCACCCCACCCCACATCACCCCACCCCATATATTTCTGGCGTGCCCAAGGGTAGCAACACTTAGACAGCCGGAACACCCAATGCCCCTGAACAAGACATGTGCATCAGGAGGATCATTTCATGATTCATTAATGATAAAAATTCAACAATTATCATGGTCAATGTTTTTGTCAATTAGAGTTGAAAGCTTTCTGACGACTGTTCCTATTGACATAGGTTTTTGATGATCAGCTGCAGACTTGTTGTCTGCGTCTCAATGTTTTGTATGTGTTATTCAGGTGGTAAAATTTACAGGTTTTAAAACAAGTCAAATAAGATAACGCCAGTGATGATTTGCCTGATATTTTTAAGAGCAGATAATTGCAATATAACCAGCGAGATACTGTAATTTAGCCACACTTTCATTTGTTGTGTGTAAAATGTGTATAGCAGTTTGGAATTTGCGCGAACTTTCATGATTATCTAAAGGTATAGTATATCCAGAAGGGAAACTGAACTAAATGTTTAATATATCCAAATGTCAAGGTGCAGTAGTGAATCTTGGCAAGATATTGATTTCAAAAGCACTATTACCACTCATTGATTCAGGTTTGAAATATATCTTAAAAATACAACAGGGCAACATGAACCTGCTGGCTCTGTGCCAACACACTTATGTTTGTTCCATAAATTTGATAGCAAATTATGATCATGAACTTAGATCTGGGACCAAATTTAATTACTTTAAGCTAATCTTCTACAAATTTGATTGATTTTGTTCTGGTGTGAATTCTTTTTATTGAATCTACCAGAATTTTATCTGCTTTTTCAAACAGATTGATTGATGGCCATCATTTCAATATGATCTCTGGTGACTTTATGTTTGTGACAGAATGAAAGAAGCTGTTTTTTCATCTGTGATTCATTACGAGCGGTTGATTTGTCATGACATTTTAGCTTGGAGTAATAGAGGTTATCACGCTTGTGTGTTTGGGGATGGTAAATATCCTGCATTAGGAATAAACATTGTATTTAGCGAGCCTTGGCGAGCTAAATACATAGTGTTTATTCCTAATTATTCCTAAGACAGGATATTTACCATGCCCAAACACACAAGCGTGATAACCTCTATTACTCCAAGCTAAAAATAAAATGTCATGACAAATCAACCGCTTTATCATATAATGTCATTCTTTCATTCTGTGCTTGAAAATAGCTTCCCCTCTCTCACAAACATTACCGAAGCATTGCGAGTTTTCCTGGAATGCGCGCATTAATATTTATTACGTCACAGGGTAAGTGATGTGTCAGTCAGACAGTGACAGTAGTCAATATAGTTCCAACTGAAATCTGTTTCTTATATAGTGGCGAAGCAACATATCCGCAAAAAAACAATTGTTTTTACTTGCCTTTCATGGCAATCCATCAGTCTGCCCGCTAGAGTAACTGCCCTTTGTCAAAGAGAAGCTACTCTAACCCTAGTCTATGAGACGTCACGGCCACATGGACAGTTGGCCTGTCCTGTCATAACGTTAAGAAGTGCAGTCAGATGTACACGAAACAAGGTAACAATTCAAACATATTTTGGCTGAATCCAACTATTTTAATTCGTGGAAAATGTTCCAAGCCGCAGAGGCCTACAAGCACAGATATGGCTACTGATCTCAATTGGCTAGGCCCCTGTCCTCGCAAAATTGTTTCGAAATTTATATCTCCAAAGTTGCCAAAACTTATAAAATGCCTTAGCTACATCACAGTTAGACACTGATTTTCAGTATATTAGACTCTTCTTTTGATAATGGTAGCAATTATTCCTGTAGTTTGTCCAGATTCCCGATGGTTACTTCTGACTCGATCGCCGAATGACAAGTGTGACGCCATGTTTGTTTATAAACACTGAAAGTAGTCCCTATTTGACCTTTGATATTTGC